ACAGTAATTAATTTTAATATACATAACTATGTTTTCAGTGGTGTATAAAGACCTTATATAATGGACCGTTTTATTACCTTAGAAGGAGCCAATTCTATCTACATACACCACGGTCACCATGTTGTGCCGCCATGTTTCTACAGTAGCCCAAACGGACAAACTGCTATACAGAGTGCATTTCATTAAGAGGCTACATTGAATACGTACGAAGAAGTAGTAGTAGTCGTCCTCGTCCTCGTTCTTTAGCACAAGAGTCGACAGAGTGATGAAATGGCCACCTGGTGTTGTGTTGGATGGGGTGGTGCTGAGAGCGGTGTATTCAATGAGCAGGTCCGTCTACTGCGATGAAGGACTGGAGGAGGTCCTATGCTACGCAGATCTCTCCATGATGCCAAGAAGGGAGCCAAATTCAAGTCATGTTTGCACACACATTTACTAAAAGATGGGACAGGAGAAAATTAGAGGGGATTTTTTTTTCTCATAGTTTGGGGGTATTTAGAAATCAAAAAGTGCATTTTGCATAATATGGGACCTTTAATACTTCTTCCTCCTCTGTCGAGGAACGACACACATTTATACATTAATGTGAACCTTCCTGAAGAAGAAGAAATAGTATATTATACATGGCGTCAAAACCTCTGAAAACCACTCATCTTAAAATTACGGGATTTTGAATAAACATTTTAAAGTTCTATTTTTGGGTTTAGAAAACACTCAAGCTAAATAAGCTATTTCAAAGGTTGATGTTTTGCAGATACATCAGTAGTTAAGAGGCAAGAAAAATATAATTGTTATAGAACAAACAGTCAGTAGCTCATGATTCTGCCAAAACAAAGAGGTTTTCTACACTTAAAATACTCACAGTACATTCCACCACTTAGCAGCTCCACTAAAGCAGTCAGAGGTTCAGTGCTTTGTTCAAGAGCACTTATAAAGTTATTGTATAAAGTGGGAGAAAGTTTTACTAATTTGCTTTCCCAGCTGGTTCAGACATTTGTGTTATTTATAGCTAATTGTCTGTATGTGTAAACTGGTCTTATAATTAGTGTTGTTTGTTTACAGTATGGCTAACCAGAGAAAACCCACATGACAAATCAGACTTACGCCCACAGTCTTGAAAAGGATGTGTGATTTTTCAACACACCCACACATGTCCAATGGGAAGACAAATCTATCAATAACTGCTGCTGACATTTTGTGTTCTCTGTGTAGATATGGAGCATCAACGTGTTCTCTCTTTTGAAAAATTTGCCCTTAAAAGGTTGCCCTAAAAGAAAGAAACATATTAAAATGCTCAAAATTCCAAATGGAGATTGGTGTGTGAAAACATCCAAACTATTTCTAAAGAAATCATCCAGAGTTTAGGGGTGAGAGGGTATATTTGTAGGGGTGGGTGGGGGTGAGGGGGGGTTGTGTCTCCTTGAAGTGGAGCATAAAACTGGACCCCTTATAAGGTATTTCCCTGAGAACAGTGGGAGGAGGGAAGAGGGCCGAGCGATGCAGGATATTCTCACAGGATGTGATGGCTGGACAGCAGCCGGAGCCACGCATTGTGGAGGAAAGAGTCAGCTGAGAGGAGCTTTTGGTTTGCGGTGTTTGCTTTGTTACTATCGATCTGTGAGTGGGTGGGTGTGTGCACTGAGGATGTGAAATCAACATGGTCAGGAGGCACTGCGAAGATTAGTCATCAGCTGAAAGTAAGGTAAATGTTCAACTCTCTAAAAAAGCATGTTGTTTAATGCTTTGGTTTCGGGGCGCCTTGGACTAGACAGTGGGAGCAGATGCTGCTTGGTGGAGTATGTGTGCATGGTTACAAATTGCAGTGGTGGAAGAAGTACTAAGATGCTTTACTTAAGTAAAAGTACCAATACAACAATGTAAAAATACTCATTTACAAGTAATTTACAAGCATTAAAAATGAAAAATGAAAAATGAAAGTACAGAAGTCTTGTCAGTGACTAGTTTGCAGGCAAGATTCAACACTAAAAACATATGATTTAAGTACATGTTTTGCATTAACTGGCCTGAAAAGGCATTTGAAAAAAAATATATAATTGAATAAGATGGAAAATCAGCAGGGACTAAGCAGGAAAAGTATGAGAAGCTCTAGATGCTCAATGTGATCAATGTGTGAATTATGCCATATGTAAACAAGATTTTTTAAATAACATAAATAAAAAATTTTTTATACTTTGTTAAGAAGAATCTTAAAATATGTGATATCACCAAAATAGACGGGAAGTTTCTTCACTTTTAAATACTCACAGTATTCCTGGTCCTCCTGCTTCAAACTTACAGTTCCACTGAAAAAAAACACATTTTTTATTAGCAAAATGTACTTAAAGAAAGTAAAAGCATTGATTCTGCAGAAAAATGTCTTTTGCTATATTATATATAACATTATTAGGTTAATAGTGATGCATCAGTGTGTGAGCAGCGTGTTACTGTTGTAGATGCTCGAGGTGGAGCTAATTTAACTATTTTTCCTTTTTTTTTATTTTTTTATTTTTTTTACAGTTAGCTAGTTTAGTCAAATGGTTCCCAACCTAGGTGTCAGGCCCTGACATTTGATACTCAAATCTGTTTTTGTTCTAATCTTTGCTTTTTTTGTGAAATATTGGATGCTTTAACTTCTTTGGGCCTAAAACAGTTATTTAAATTAAAACGTGTGAAATTTAGAGGGGAAATGTCTGTTTGGTGAATCTGCTAACAACTCAGACATCTCAAATGTGACAACGCGCACCAACTAGACACTGTTTTATTGTATTTAAAAGGTTGAATTAGTGTACGTATGTTTTAAATATAATATCTAAATTTAAAATCTGTCAGTAGCTGTAAGTAGTAGCTGTCAAATAGTGTAATGGAGTAGAAGCATAAAATGGAAAGTACCTCAGAATTATACTTAAATACCAACGTACTTGGAAGTGTTGCTTTTGTTCATCTTTCTGGCTGCTGATTAACAACCACAATGCTTTATCAGATTGTAAATGTTTATAAGTGTTATGCAAGGAACTTGTGTGATGAACTTTGTGTATTTTTATTGTTCACATCAATAATAAAAAAGTGGTGCACATTTTTTTATCCTAAGTTAGCAGTTAATGATTGTTAAGGTGCGTATTGAACAAAATAGAAATTTCACATTTCTATCAGCAGACAAATCCACATAGTTTTCAGAATTACTAAATTAATCATGTGTCTGTTTTTTATGCAGCTACAAGCGCTCTTCACCTGCTTATAGCTGGCATTTACTCACAAACATCACATGAGAGTACTGTGATGAATGTCTTGATTGAATTTGCTTTTGCACAGACTCGGAGAGCAAATCTGTGGTTATGTGAAGGTCTCACATTGTGAGTGAAGGAAAGATTTCACATGAACTAAATGAAACTTTTTCATTTTTAACACTGAAATCAACAGTAGGTGCGTTTTTACAGCAAAAACTGATAGCATTTCTAATTTAAAAAACCTCAATGGCTGTTTTCGATGTCTGCAAACCTCACCTACATTTCCATGTCGTTATCATCCCCATGGGTATTTACCATTACTGCGATGCTAATTACTCCCACATTGTCTGCCCTGTGAGGTTGCATGTTGTTTTGTTTTGCTCAGGGGAACCTATCAGGAAATATTTTAGTAAGTTTCCGCAACATAATGAGGCACAGGACTTGTGATGACTCATTATGGCCAGACAAAACACTCTCTGATTTCCAAACAATAACCTTCTGTACAGACTTTATTACATTTACTCATAACTCATAACTCATGGAAACCTTTTAGATTCATTTGCTTAGTCATTCTTTCTCAGTATAACCAGTTCCGCAGCTAAATACAGTGTGTATAAAAGTGTAAAAGAGAAATGTCAAAGCATTCAAAGTAAGAAAAAGCCCCTTTTGTATCGCATGGCATAAATAGCACTGTCATGTCACACAGTAGGTAGGCTTACTTCCCTCTTCCTTCCCTTTTCAAGTCATATCACCTACAGCATGCTTCCTGCATTCGCGTGTTTCTAACTCGTGTGCTCTGGACTCTCCCTGTGCTGCAGCACCATGGCCGCCTTCCAGCTGCTCTTCCCGCTGTTGGTCAGCTGCGTGGCGGCATCCTCACGCCCTCCCCGCCACCTCCCTCCATGCCAAGTTGTAAGTAAAGCCTGATAACAACAGAGACACACACTACTAGTAGTGGTCCATCAATGGCACATACACATTTACATTCTGTTTTTTTCTCATCTTCTGTTCACATTCCTCACACGTCCAGTTAAATAAATACTGAATATATGTAGGGTTTTTTTCATCTGCTGTTTATTTTGATCGGTTGCCTAAGGCAACAGAGATGAGACACTGAATCCATCAGGTGCTTGAGATATTTTCAGATTACCTCCAGGCAGATAGTTTATTTAAAAGCTTTCGACCTGAGCAGATCCGGTTTATTAGTTTTAGCTCTTGAACTTTTCTGCTGCCAGACCTTCAGGCTTTAATATTTGGACAATGAAACACTATTTGATCTTGACGGAAGAAAACGAGCGTTTTTGTGTTACGCTGCAGAGAATATGTATAAATTTAAAGAGTTTCTGGCTAATCATTTAGTTTTGCATTAGTTGTTCTAACTATGTAACAAACTGGAAATGTAACATTGTCTTTTCCAAGGAAAGACCAGCAAATACGGAGAACAGCTTTAATGAAGTGGATACCGGTTGAATCGCTATGATGTGCAGCAGTTGGTGATAGAAAACCCATTCAGTGATGTTAGGTGTTTCAAAAACTTAAACACAGACTCGGGTTGTGGCCATGCTGTAGTGTATCTGGCCAGCATGTCATTCATTTGAATTTTGTTAGGTTCAATGGAAATTTATTGGCATGGGAAACAGGCGTTAACATTTCCAAATTAAGTGTGAAATCAAAACATGTTACAGATGAAATGGGATTTTGCTACTGAAAATAAATAATACAGCAAAATTGTAGATGTGTAGTTAAAAATACTAATAACAATTCCCTCTCTTTCTCTCCCTAATTTTAAAAACAATAACAAAAAGAACAATAAAAACAAAAGTTCTAGATCGGACTCAAACCAGGAACATCACCGTTCCAGCACACATGTTTTCCAGGTGGACAGAGGATGCACAGATTTTAGCATGAAAATAAACCACCAGGACACCCGACAGTTTCAGTCTTTTGAAGTATAAAATTCCCCCTTTGTGCAACTTTCCCTCAGTAAGCAAACAATGTCTGATGAGGAAGACTGTAACTTTAGAGGAAAATTACGTGATGTATTTAACTCGGACTGCTGAAGACTCGCTACCTTTAGTAAGACAAGAATTTTGCCCCCTGTCTCTCACACTGGAGTCAGTATGGTCCAGTATGGAGAGGAAGAGTGATTATAGCAACCACCAATAACTGTTTCAAAGGAGTGTTTCTTGTCTTAGTTCCCATCTGTTGGACTGGTAGTCATTTGTTACAGTATTACTATGACTAAATGTGATGTAAACAAACACACATTTATCCGATGTTATACAAACAGAGGCTTAGAAGGTTTTTAGGAATGTAAGCTTTTGCACGCCACACAAGCAGTGTGCATTTCACTGTTAATACCAGACGTCACAGAGAAAAGACCACATTTTAAATTATGATACTTTCATATAAAATATGCATTTGTTCCTCAATGCCTGATGACAGATACAAGATGATTTGCCCTCCAGTAGTTCTTCAATAAATCAACGTGTTTGTTTATGTCTGGCTTGTAAGCAACCAGGAATGACACTTTCAGGATACCACAAATATGCAAAAAAGCTAAATGGACTCTGCCTCGGAGAAACAACAGAGAAGGGGACCGTTTTATGAGCTGCTTTTGGACAGAAGGCTTTCTGGCCATATGGTTTGAATTATAAAATGCACTTAATAACCTAACAATATTTGAATTGTTAATTAAGAGAAAAGGGAGAGAATATGATGAAAACGCTACGCTGATAATGAAGCTGTGCTGCGTGTTGTCTTTAAATAGGAAAAATCTTTTTTTAAAGCTGTTATCTTGGTAAAAGAATTTGAGCATAAGAGCTATATTATAAGTCACCAAATAGCAGTTAACTTCTTGAGTTAATTTAAAGAGGAATAGCTATAATAAACCTCAGAGGACTGTGTTGCTGCCAAGAACATGCTGTAGATACACTGACTCATAAATCGACTGTACAGTTTAAACATTTGGTCTGTATTGTGTCATGGTCAGGCAATCTGGCAGTATGCCGACATAATCAGACTTGTGTGTTTTGTCTTTATTCGCAGGTCCAGATGAATGTGTTTTGCAGTGATCTGAGCCTTAGAAGCGCTCCAGACAACCTTCCTCATGGCGTCCAGATGCTGGACCTTTCTCGTAATCAGATGCAAAATCTCACCCAGGAAACTCTCGCGTACCACACCGGCTTCCGTCATCTGAATCTTCACTCCAACAAGATCCACTTCATCCAGCCGGGACTCTTCAAAGACATGAATGATCTAAAAGTCCTGGATCTGTCTAGGAATAATCTGAATGTTTTTGCTCGCTCCAAAATCAACATTGGGCCTCTTACAGCTGTAGAGTCACTTGATCTTTCAAGCAATGGGCTGTACACAGGAATGTCTGACTATTTCCTGGCTGATTCTCCATTGCTGGCAAACCTTTCTCTCAACAGCAATAGCATCACCAAAATAGCAAATAACACTTTCAGTGGATCCTTGGCCCTGACGAAAATCAGCCTCCACAATAACGTCATCATGGAGATTGAAGGTGGAGCTTTTGACTCCTTGAATCATCTGACTGAACTCGATCTGTCCAAGAACTCAATCACTTGCATCACAGACTTCAACCTCTACAACTTAAAACTGCTCAATCTCAGCAAGAACAGCATGGAGTCTTTCCAAAGCACAGAATCAAATGATAGGTATCATCTTCTCTCTCTTGATCTGAGTGAAAATAAAATGCTCTACTTTCCTCTTCTACCTAAGAAAAACATGCTCAAATACCTGGACATTTCACGGAACCAACTTCAGAGCATCAACGTTACAGGAAATCATGATGAAAATACAACATTTCATTTAAATCACCTGAGATACCTGGACATGAGTTTCAACCAACTCAAAAGCATACCAGAGTCCTTTTTTAGTGGTATGGGATTACTCGAGGTCCTGAATGTGAGCAATAACTGTATTGGCTCATTTTCTATCACTGATAAATTTCATCTACAGAGAGTAAAGATTATCGATCTCAGCTATAATTCGCTGCAGAACCTGACATTTGGGAAAAACACTCTGCAATCGCTGGAAAAGTTTTTCTTACAAGGGAACGACCTCACCACCTTGGATCATCAAATATTCCGAAGACTTCCAAGTATTAAACACCTGCATCTCCAGCAGAATGACCTGAAAATCTGTGCCTCGGACCAAAGCCACCAGGATTCTCCAGATTGTGTCTCATTTACCTCCATACCAAACTTGCAGTACCTGTACCTCTCTGACAACAATCTGAGGACTCTGCCTGCAAACGCATTTGCCAACACCCCTCTGATATTACTGGACTTGTCCCTGAACCCGGGCTTAGACATGGACAAAGACTCCCTCTCTGGTCTCGAGCATTCTCTGGTTCACCTCTTCCTGAGGGAAAACAACATTTCCAGTCTAAATACAGATCTCTCCTCACTGAGGTGTCTCAGAGACGTAGACCTGTCCTTCAACCAGCTGACCATTCTACCTACGTGGATCAAAACGTCCTCCATTGAGTCGCTAAACCTGCAGAACAACAACCTGGTCACTCTGGACTACAGTACCATGCTCACCCTGGAACACTCACTTAAAATCCTCTACATGGGATCCAACCCACTGAGCTGCTGCAGAAACCTCGGCTTCCTCCACATGGTCCAGCACTCAGCCGTGGTCGTCCCCGACATTGAGAAGGTGACCTGCATTTACGAGGAGTATTCAGAACTGGTCAACATCGGGAATCTGACTCCGGAAATGTGTCATAGAGCAGGCATCCAAAACTATGTTGTCCTTGTTGTTGTGATAGCGCTACTTGTGATGATCGTGCTGGGACTGTTGGTTAGATGTTGCCACACAAGGAAACGAAAGCACAGCCGAAGCTTTAGAGCTTAATGTGAATGAACAGTGCACGTGCAGGACCATGAAGGAATTCATTATTGGGACTTTTCTAATTTCTGTTCACGAGGAGGTTGTAGGTTTGAACCACAGACAGTGGAAAAACATGAATGTAATATCTGTGATGTCACCCAAAGTCTTCTGAAGTGACGATTTAAAGCCTTGGTTTGGGTTTACCACTACCATTCCAAGTGAAATAAGCCTGACTGAGGCTGAGATAGGACATGCAAGATGCAACCACAGTGGCTTATGTGCCTAGATGAAAACAATACAATAGATAAACTATTGAATCCACCACTTCTTGTGGAAAATATTCTTCTTGTACTGTCTTACAGAAGATAGGACTTTTTTAATGGACTTCTAAAAGTAAGAAGTTTATTGCAGTCACCATGTACAGTAGTGGCTATTTCAGGGACTGCAATTTTAGAGACTCATGGCTAAAGCAGAGGTGTTTCCTGCTTGGTTTTGATATCAAACCACATCAGTTTATTGAATGTAAAAGGAGGATAAAATCCACACTAAAACACTGTTGCCCATTTCTACACTGACAGACCACAGTGAAAGACATAAAATGTTAAAGGAAAGGTTTTTGGAAAATCTGCTTATTCGCTTTCTTGCTTAAAGTTATATGAGAAGATTAATACCTCTAACACGTCTGTGTTCTAAATACGAACTTACAGGCAGCAGCTGGTTAGCTTAGCTTAGCTTAAAGACTGCAAATGGCACGAAACAATTAGTCTGGCTCTGTCCAAAGGTAACAAACTCCACCTATTAAATTAGAGGTGATGACCTCTAAAGCTCACCAATTAACATCTCTTTAATTTGTATGCAGTAACACAGAAACTCAAGAAAGTTACTCGAAGAAACAGTCTGGCACATAAGTGTTAAACATAAAGTTTTAGAGGTGCTGGCAGGAAGATTTTTACCTTTGGACAGAGCTTAGCTAGCTTTTTCCTATTGTTTTTAATCTTCATGCTAAGTTAAGCTAAGCTTAGCTAACCACCTCCTGGCTTTAAATTAATGGTACACACATGAGAGTGGTATCAGTCGTGTCATGTGGCTTTCAGCAAGAAAGCAAATAAGCGTATTTTAGGCTTGAACGAGGTGGAGTCAGATGTCTTCACTCAGTGACGTTCAGTCATAGTATATGAGAGTGGAATTTCCTTCAAGCTAAAAATAAAGAACATAACACTACAAAAGGTCATGAAACAAAATGCTCTACTCATGGAGGATGAAGTATGATTAAATGAAGTACATGTAGGTTGAGAGTCATCTGAGATGTCCGAAGGTTTTTATGAAGCCATCCCTTTACCCTTTATGTAGTTTGCACTTTAATGTTCCTCTTGTTTGTGTGATTGTATCTTGTTCTGTGACTGTTAACACTAAGAAATGAAGAAATGTTTTACCGGAAATAACTAAAACGGACATTTTAAACAGCATGTTTTCTGTATTGATCCCAGGCCTGAGGTGATCCCCCCTGGACATAATATTCAACACGAAAATGTTTCAGCACCATTTAGAGACAAAGTTGAAAGCTGAACTAAGCACTGAAATTAATAACTGTGATATAGAAGTACAATATACATACTATATTTTTCTAAATAAATAAATGATTATAAAATCCAGCGCTGTATTGTAGCGGGCTACACTGGGATCCACAGATTCATACTATTTTAATGTGCTCGGTCATAAAATGATTATTATAATAGTTATTTTTTATTATCTACAAGACAAGCTGATTTGGAACTATTCTCATCCTGCAATGTTTTTTTTGTAATGTAAGCAATATTTTGTACCAAATGAACTTTCTACACTTTAACACTGTGTGAGACATTATTTGTGTAACAAAAACATATAAACCTCTGAACACAGCATTACCACAAGACCATTTTAAGTTTCATTTTTCCTCATTATTCAGATAGCTAGGTATTATAATACCTTAAAATTATATTTCACTCTGTACATATTTATTATGTCTGGAGTTTTGTAAAGAGTTTAAACAGATAGTTAAACAGACATTATTGTGCTATTTTACTTGATGTGATGCTCATAATTTTTCTTGCAGCAAGTTAGATGAAAAAATTGATTTTCTGTACGTTAAATATGAAACTACAGCTAGCGGCCGATTAGCTTAGCTTAGCACAATCAGAGTTTTAGAAATGCTGATACATGGATTTTGTCATCGTTGGACACAACCGGGCTAGCAGTTCAGAATCAGAATCAGCTTTATTGCCAGGTATGTGTACACATATCAGGAATTTGACTCAGGATTGTACATTGCTCACAGTGTGCTCACTCATTCAATAATACAATAATAAAATAAATGAGACACAGGCTAGAGTGTAGACAACACAAATATACACACTGAACAAAAAACAATATAGACATATTGACAAATAGTGCAGTGAGCAGAGTGCAAAGGGTGCAGGAGTAAAATATTATTATTATGTACATGTCAGAGGTGGATGTGATATACATGTACACATGTACGCAGTGCGATGCAGTTTCCCCCTGTTTCCAGTCTTTGTGCTAAGCTCGCCGCTGCCTGTAGCTTCACGTTAAACTAATAAATATGAGTTGCAATATTTCTGTACTTTGCTCTTTGCGCTGGTTAAAGTGGGTGGGGCTCAGTTAGAAAAATGGGATGTTACGTATTTTGTGGACCAATCAGGATACAGCACAGTTAAATCACGATATAACAACCAAACTTTAACTTTGGATGTTGCCTTTCCAGTCATTAATGCTTAATGTGAGAGAAAATTTTGAAGTTTTTAGGGGCTGTGAAACTTCTGAATAGACAGCATATTTATTGTACTTTGGGTAAACTTAATCTTGAAATGAATAAATCAGACAAACTTTATTTGTATCGCACCTTTCGTACAACTGTTGTACAGTCAAGCACATAATAAGGCAATTTGATATTAATGCACAAAAGAAATAAACTGAAATTTTATTAATAAAAGCAATTAAATAAAATGGATTTTAAAAAAACAATAAAAATAGATAAAAGAAAATGAAAAATAAAATAGCTACAAGGTTCCCTTTCATTGTTACATTTTATCAGGCTCTTTCACCCAGAGCTGAGGCTTTTATTTTGATAGTTTTGACCTCCTCCTCCGGCCTTTCTACCTCCTGAGTTTACATTTGGATTAAGGCTTAAAGACTGAGAAAGTGCTGTTCAGCATGAGAAGCTTTATTAACTGTCTAATAAAAGCTTTTTACCCTCTGTGACTCAGACCCTCCATCCCCCAGGAGAGAGAAACACGCAGTTACTGAAGATAATTTACTGTGCAGGGTGGTACAGGAAGTTGTCCACGGGCCATCGGCTGTTTTACGTCAATGGGGAAAAGGCATTTATCATCACTTTCAAGATAGAAATGTGAATCTCACAGATGCTTGGTAAAAATGTTCAGTTAGAAAGGGTCTTTTGTCTTAATAACGAAACATCCTGTCGGTTTACATTTTCTAGCGTGGCACTATTATCAACATGTCAGTGGGTGTTTGTATTTAATTTAAATACTGCCCTAAAATACACAGTGAAGCTGTTTAAAACATCGTGAAGTGTTTAAAGAAGAGGATGCTGTTTAACTTGAACTTTGAAGAAGCTCATCCATGCTGTGAAGCATGTATTTGTTTAAATAATAAATATATTGTAGTTTTGTCTATATATTTTTGCTAGGGTATAGTTAAAAAAAAAGTTAATAAATACCATAAACACTATTGTTTTCTTTTACCAGAATAAGACTTTGAAGCATAAAAAACATAATATTCTGAAACATTAAAAGACACAAAAGACTGTTTTAGCAACTGTAGTTTGTGTGGTTGGATTTATAATAAAGAATTTGCTTATTTAACTGTTGCTCAGTATGCAGCTACAGGAAACCACAGAAGTAATCTATATCCTTTTTATCTTGTATCTGGGACTGTCTAGACTGTGTTTATATGGGTGAGAGTTGTGTTTGCTCACCGCCTTAATTAACAAGTGCAGCTCTTCTGCTGCCAGCTTCCAGCAGGTTACATAACAGAGGACCTACAGTGAAGTGTGCTGTCCTACTTAAGCCAGTTTAATGTTTTCTGGCTTAATGTTCAGCTATGGGCGAAACACTCACCTGAACTTTACGCCTCGGTTTTTGTACTGGTTAAATAAATTTGATTATTATATAATTAGTGAACTTTAGAGGTGCTGGTAGGCAGATTTAGTTACAGTTGGACAGAGTCTTGCTCGTCTTTCTGCTAAGCTAGCTAGCTGCTGGCTGTAGCTTCAAAAAGAAAACTTCTTTGTAACTTGATTTTTGAGGTGCATGCATGTTACTATATTTAACTCCACTGCATTTCAGATTAAGATTTTGCACTTTTTACTCCACTACATTTATTTGAGAACTGTAGTTGCTATTTACTTTTCAGGTCAAGACTTAACATTAAAACAAACATATAATCAGCTTATACAATTTGTTAAAAGTTAAACAAGCGGCTGGTCACAGTTTAACCACGTTGTCATGTCACAGGTCTATGAGTTGTTGACGGGACATTCCCCCTCTAATCTCTACAGGATTTCTGTTAAATCCAATTATCCAATATTGCACTAAAAATCAAAGATGAGAGAAAAGTCCAAAATATTAATAGAAATGTTTGTAGCAGTTTCCTCCCCCATAAATCATCTCACGATACCTTGGATTTATCTTCGTCGGTGCACAACACCTAGGTTAGGAACCACTGGACAACCAAACTTGTATAAGATGGTTAAAACTAGTTAGCTCCACTAACTGCTACTGATCATTTAATCATCAGTATTAATGCTCTTATAATGTAAAACATATTAATATAGATTCACAGAACAAGTAGGCCTACTTTTACGTTTGATACTTTTGTGCTTAATGAATGACTTTTACTACTATAGGAGTACCTATATATTGTGGTATTGGTAGTTTTACTTAAGTAAGATATCCGAGTAATTCTGTCACCGCTGTATGTATATATGTTTTCTGAGGCTCTTATTAATTAAGGGAATGGTAGTTTGTTCACTTTCAGAATAACTGGCCCTCCAATCAGGGCTCATGCATTGTGCACAGGAAATGGCAAACTGCCTGTTAGATTAGAGATCTTGAGCAAACCAAAGCTGACATGTTGGCCTGATGGCGGTCCAAGAGGAAGGCTGATAGGAGTGTTCAAAATGGAAAGTGTGCATCCTCTTGGGAGCATGTACATGCTCTGTAAAGTTCATGGCAATCTGCCCTTTAGACTGTCCTTACCGGTGAAGTGACAGCATAGTCGTTTGTTCAAAAAATATCCTCACAAAAAGCTATTGTGGTTGTTTGTCAAGACTGCCCTCTCAAGAAAAGATACATCATCATGTCTTTAAGCTTAACCATATCCGTGCCAGATCTGAAAACAGTGAATTATTTCCAAAAGTGATGTGTAATGTTTTTGGAAGGCACTGACTGTTTTTTAAGTTTTAAAAGATTATGTCAATGTCATTTGTCTAACTAATTAATCAACTAATTATTTCAGCTGTACTTGTATAAACTGCTTGGTACTTTCATTTTATAACCAACCCCCCCATGTTACTTATATGGTTTCAGGAAATCTACTGGGACATTAAATGAGACTACTACACTCTAACTTTATTTATTTTTCCAGCACTGTATCAGCTCTCCAGGGCAGAGAAAAAAATAGACAGTAGTGGAAAGCTTCTCTTCCTCAGGGAGAGGTGGGGTCACGATCATCTGAAGGGAAACTGTATTCCTCCCTGTTCATAACCATTAAGTCTGTATATGCTAAAGACTGTAGCTACATCCTTTCATGACCAACAGACAAAACAAAGTTCTGGTGGAGTCCTACCAGCCCTCACAGCTGTGCCAACCTGCCGAAAGGCATCATTTCCTTTCAAAGACCTTTCCTGTTCTCCTGTTGTAAAATTCCCCCACGTTTTTTTCTTGTTTATAAGATGAGCAGTGATAGAATCAGAGGAGGCCTACGGGAAGTATTTGTGGTTTCTTAATTTGAGGAAAGTCACTTTTCCTCGTCTCTGTGACCGGGCATTGAGTCATAAATAAAAATGAACCTGTATTTATCATAGTTTAGTCATACTGAGATCAAAAAAGCTCTTTCTTAAGGGGCGGCTTGACCAAAGCAGGAGTGGGGCACTTATTCACACACTTTGTAAAAGAAAGTGTGAAGAAAGAGAAAACAACATTCGCCCTGAACACCTGCTGTAAACAAGCAAAAATGTGAATATTTTTTGTGCTTTATCATTCAACAACAATGTTACCTCAATGGGAAAGATAGTTATCATGCATCCTTTCTGTACCTGATAAAGAGCCAACCAGGCATCCAAATGTTGTCCTCTTTCTAAATGAATGAAAAACGGTTTATGAAAGGAATCATTTAACAATGTTGCAAGTTCTTGAGAAACAGATTGACCCACGATCTCTACAGCCACTCCATTAGCAAAGCTAAAGCTGTTTGTTTTTTTGGTGTCAGAATTTTGTTTGGGAGTGAGCGTTGCGCAGGAAGACCTTGAACTCGTGACCTCAGTATTCCTGAAGCCCCGGCTACGGCCCTGTTGACAGTCTGTTCTGAGTAACAAGGACAGTGTCTCTGCAAAGAAATGCTCATATCTCAAAATCTGGACAAATGAAAGTACAACTATCTGCTAGATGCCATCAGAGGTAAGCCAAAAAAAATGTTTATTGGGAACTGATGGATAAATCCAATACCATGACAAATACTACGAAATAGAATGAACACAGCATGTACGACGGGACAAGATGGTCCCAGAGCCAGCACACCTGCTCCAGACGGCAACATTCACAACTCTCCTGCTACTATAGCAGCATGTCTAGGTGAACTAGAAAGCAGGCTGAATGTCTGTGGGCATTTAAAG